TGGTGGTGGTGATGGTGGTGATGATGGTGATGTTGTTGTTGGTGGTGATGGTGATGATGATGGTGATGATGATGGTGATGATGGTGGTGATGGTGGTGATGGTGGTGATGTTGTTGGTGGTGGTGATGGTGGTGGTGATGATGGTGATGATGGTGGTGATGGTGGTGATGATGGTGATGTTGTTGGTGGTGGTGATGGTGGTGGTGGTGGTGGTGATGATGATGGTGGTGATGTGGTGATGGTGGTGATGGTGGTGATGTTGTTGGTGGTGGCGATGGTGGTGGTGATGGTGGTGATGGTAGCAGTGGTGATGATGATGATGGTGGTGATGGTGATGGTGGTGGCAATGTCAAGGGAGATGTCATTGTCGTGATAAGTACAGAGCTAAAATGTTGCTGGGAGGCAGAAAGGAGGGTTATACACCAGAATTGTGCCTGAGGGGTGAGTCGTCCTGGGTGACAGCTGCACGTCAGCAGTTGACAGTTGGGTACCCAGATGGCGGGGGGCAGAGTGAGATGTGGCTGGTAGCTGCCTCCAAACCCCAGGTGCCCAGAGCCCTCGGGACAGAGTAGCTCACAAGTCCCCTCGTGCCCCTGAGGCCTGCTGGGGTCCCTGCCTCACCTGAATGAGGAGGTGAGTAGTAACTCAATAGTGAAGTGCACCCAGAGCCGTCCTCTGCCTTTCTCCTCTCGGCCAGGCCCTCACTTTCTGCATGAACAAGGCTGCCCCAGCCCGAGTTCCATGGCCTCTCCCAAGGGTGCAGGGCTGGGCCTTACTGGTGTGTGTTAGGAAGAACTATTTGGTGGAAAATGACAAAAACCCAGTTCACACTTGCTTTTGGGTAAAGGAGGTTATTAAACCAGGTAACTAAAACACTGGTCTGACTTCAGGTATGGCTGAATCAAGCCGTTGAGACAACACCCTCCACCCCAGACTCTCTATTGGTTTTGTTTTCTTCTGTGTTTGTCTAATTTTCTGGCTCCAGGTAGTGACTACTGGCAGCTAAATGAGTCACCTTATTTCACAGATAAGGAAACGGAGACTCAGAGAGATGAAGTGATTTGACTGAGTTCACTCAGCTGAGTCAGGACCCGGGCCCAGGGTGTTCACAGAAGCCAAACTCATCCTTCCCATTAGTGAGGCCTCTTTGAGCCCCAGCCCTGCCTTCCTCCATGTGCTGTGTGGTTTTAAGGCAGTCGCTGTGCTTCTCTGAGCTTTATTTTCTCTCTCTAATAAACAAGGGAGTTGGAGGGGGTGTTCTGCAAAGCCCCTCCCTGTTCTAAGAGTCTGTGCTTCTGGAACAGTCCTGGTGGAGGAAAGGATGCGGCCAGAGAGCTTAAAAGACAGAAAGACGGAGGGGGACGGAGGCAGGCAGGGAGATGCGGCGGAGGCCACGGGGTGCCTCTGCTTTCCTTTGCGCCCAGCGCCTCATGGCAGCCTTGACCTTCTGTCCTCTTCCCCCGCCTTCAGCAGCCAATCTGGACTGCAGCCCCCGCCGCGAGGAGCCGGCGAGAGGCCACTGTGCTTTAGTAGCTGCCAAATTGGTCCTGACGGTTCCTGTAATTAGGTGAAGGGGAGAGTCGTGCGCACGGCTTCTCTCTGCTTCCCTCCAAAGAAATAAAGTGACCAGACACAGGGATGAGGAGGCCCAGCCCTGCCTCCCGGGCGGCCGGGCAGAGGAGGGGCCTCAAGTGCACTCGGGGTCTGAGAGTGGAGGCCCGGCCTCTGCTGGGGGCCATCGGGGAAGCTCTCCCAGGCTCTGCAGGCGCCACGTCTGAGCCAGTGGGAAGGTCCCCTTCCGGGGGTTGGAAAGGGAAGATTCACGCGCTGGGCACAACACGGCCTCCCCGGGGACACGTCCTGCCGGGCTCCGGGGAATCTCTCCACCTGCGTCAGGGACCCGCGTTCATCCCTGGAACACGGCTGGGTGGCGGGGCTGCGTGGGACCCAGACAGCAACCCCGACTGGGGTTGGCCCCCCGAGGCCACCGAGCTGGGTGCTTGTGAGTGCCTTCCCTCCCTCCAGCCTCCGCGGGCAGCTGTGGCTCCGTTTTGGAAAGGACAGGGCTGTGGGGACCACAGCTCTACCTGCTCAGGTCCTGTGGCTGGTGAGTGGCAGGCGGGGACCTGGCTCAGCTCCACCTGAGGGCCCGGGTTCTCTTGTCACCCCATGGTCGGCGACGCCCCAGGGGCTCCGCAGTCTGAAGGTCGCGGTGTGGGGACCAGGACAGGGCAGGAGCCCACCAACCAGAAGCAGAGCCTTTCCTTATTTGGGTGGAG